TCTTACCCATATACCCTCATGCACTTTTAATATTCCAAGGTTGCCCTCAAATTTAACTATTATACATTATAATTAACAATAAATGAATAATATAAATGTTCAATTAATGTGCAAACATGAGTTAGATTTTTATATAATTTCTTGTGTTCTAATTTTCTTTGACCTTTTCATGGAACGTGTAATTCTTTGTTCTCCCAATTCTAATATATGTTGTTATATGTTACTTTTGAAAATGAGGACAAAGAATTGGTAATTGATTATGTTACGTTAAAAGTTAAAAAGGAATTTTCTCGCTTATTATTATTGTCCATGTGGCAACATTATGCTTATTAGTATGTATTGTCCTTGTTTTGTGTACATATCATAAACATGTCAAACATATAGAAAATGATAGTAAGGTAATTTTGAAGTTTTGTCCTTGTTTTGTGTACATATCATAAACATGTCAAACATATAGAAAAGGGCAGTAATGTAATTTTTGACTTCAAGTAGTAAATCCCACACCTTTAAATCCATGATAAAAACATCCCAACAAACAAAGGATTGTTACAAATCCATGATGCCTCAAATCCTTGATAAATTATAAAACCCTCATTTTTAAATCCATGAAGCAAACGACCCCTAAAAAGGCTATATATATACGTACTGAAACCCATTTGTTTAACATTATACATAATGTCATTTCATCAAGAATCAGATCATATCCATTTGTTTAATATACCTACCTAGCTACCTAGTCCCCGCCTTTTCTCTGCCAACTGTGATCTGCACCCTTGGCCCTTGCTTTGCTTATAAAGTTATAATCAATGATTAAAATACCGCATCGTGCCGGCGGTTCGACCTGAAAAATCTTCTACCGGAAGCATAATCTTTTTTTTTTTACAATGGGCAGCTTATATTGCATTACCAAACGAAACCAAGGCGAAAACGTTACACAAAGAAATCTGTAAGAAGGCCAAGAAAAACAATCCAATCCTGAGGAAGGGAATTGTGAACAAGGGATCTAGGCATCTAGCAACCCAGTCAGCTCTCGTGTTGAGGTTCCTTCTGAAGAAGGACACTTTAATCAGCGGATTCCTCCCAAGGAGATCAGTCATGATGCCAAGCACTGCCGAGCAACACCAGGGCCAAGTTGACCTCGGGTTTGCTATAGTAGACACAAGCGTCAAGCAGTCAGAGCGGACGAGAACAGGACAAGCTAAATCCTGAGCCAGCAACAGTGCTTCAAGTAAGGCTTTCGCCTCACTTCGAGGGGAGATGAGAGAGCAAGGTCCCTGCTCTCCCGTCACAGACTTGACCATGGCTATTGAAGACAACAACGCCATAGGGCGCCTCCTGGGAATCGCTAAGAAACGATCCATCACAGTGAACCTCTAAAAGAGGCAAACTCGGTGGTGGTGAGGTCTGGTTCGGGGGATGGATGAGCTGGGAATTGGAAGGAGGGGTTCTCTGAACAGGGGGGCAATTCGACCATTCCCACAAGTCCCGAGCAGCATTGGAGCACGTAGCTGGAGGCCATGGGGTGGCATTGCGGAACACTTTTTCGTTGCGAGACTTCCAAATGTTCCAGATAAGGAAGATAATCTGGTGAATCGACCGGATGGGAATGGTTTCCTTCAGGTGGAATAGCCATTCAAGGACGTTAGCAGAAGGTGGAGGCGGATTGAGGGACAGGAAGAAATGGTCCCATCACTCTTTCGCATGATGGCACCCAAAGAGGCAGTGGTGGAGAGACTCTTCCGGATCATTACAGACCTGGCACGCAGGGGAAGGAGCACATCTCCGGTTGAACAACTTCCTCTTGGTGGCATGAGCATTACGGGCACACTTCCAAAGAAAAAAATCTCATTTTCGGCGGCAGAGACATCTTCCAAAGCCATTTCCACCTTTCTCTTTCAATGGATGTGGTCACGTGGAACTCTGGCACTTGAGACCTTTTTCGGTCATGGAAGGCATGGTAAGCAGAGGCAACAGTAAAATTACCTTTGGGGGAGAACTTCCAAGCCCAGAAATCAGGTGCTTCATGAAGACCAATCGGGACCCTCTTGATAGCTTGAACATGAAAGGGGGACACCACCTGCCCCAAAGCTTGCTCGTTCCAGCTCCTCTCATCCCCATTAAGAAAGTCAACCACCCTTTCTTGTTGTACTGGCGTTCCTTGAATCTTGCCACCTGGGATATGGGGAATCCACGGTTCATGAAAAAAACTAGTAGACTCACCATTGCCGATAACTCGAATAATGCCAAATTCCATCATTTTCTTTGCTTCCCAAATGCTCGCCCATATCCAGGAAGGGTGGCTACCCTTCTTGGCATGGAGAAAATCGGATCCTTTGAAATACATACCCTTGAGAAGACGAGCCCACAGGGAATCCGGGGAGGTAAGGAGTCTCCATGCTTGCTTGGCCAACAAGGCCAGGTTGAAGTCTTTAAAAGAGCGGAATCCAATTCCTCCCTCCTCCTTAGGGGCGTTCAACACTTTTGCATCACACCAATGAATAGCCTTTTTCTGTAAAGATCCTGACCAAAAGAACTTCCTAAGCATGGCATCCATCTTCTTAGTGCTAGAATCCGGGAGGAGAAACAGACTCATTATGTAGGTCGGGATCGCCTGTATCACTGCTTTGAGCAAGGTCTCTTTGCCTCCCGGAGAGAGCAGAAGGCTCTTCCAAGAATCCCCTCGCTTTTCCATTCTCGTAATGAGAAAAGAGAAAGTCTCCTTTTTCGATCTTCCCCACTACGTTGGAACTCCAAGATAGGTAGAGTGTCTGTCCCCAGAAAAACCAAGATCACCTATAATCTGCCCCCTTAACTCCTCTTCCACATTGTGACTGAAGAAAACAGAGGACTTGGAATTGTTGATTTCTTGACCGGTGATAGTGCTGTAGTCAGAAATGATCTCCCTGATCCTTGCTGCTTCTTCCAAGGAGGCTTGACCAAAGATAACTGTATCATCCGCAAAAAGACAATGAGTGAGGGTCGGGCAATGACGATTCAGTTTTAAACCTTTAAAAACATTTGTAGAGGCCGCTTTATCAACCAGGAAAGAAAGAGCATTAGAGAGGAGAATGAACAAAAGAGGAGAAAGAGGGTCTCCCTGTCTAATGCCTCTAGTAGGAGTGAAAAACTGAGAAGGTTCCCCATTGAAGAGGATTGAGAACCTGACAGATCTGACACACTCACTGACCCAAGACCTCCAAATCGGATCAAATCCATACACTGTAAGGATTTTATCCAGACTATCCCAGTCCACCAGGTCATAAGCTTTCCTCATGTCCAGCTTAAGCATCAAGTCCCGACGGTTGCCAGTTTTATGCTTCTTGAAATGGTTGAGAACCTCATGAACAATGGTGACATTATCTTGAATCTGTCTCCCTCCCGTAAAAGCAGTATGTAATTCCGAAACCAGGAGAGGGAGCCATTCCTGCAGCCTCGAAGACATGATTTTTGCAATCACTTTATATCTGAAATTAGAACAGCTGATAGGCCGAAATTGGTTAATCTGTTCCGGGGCGTCAACTTTAGGGACTAACGAGATATGAGTATCATTCTAGCCGTCCGGTAACCGACCGGAGAGAAAAAAGGCTCTGATCTCATCACAGTAACCATCCCCGGCTGTATGCCAAAACTTCCTGAAGAAAAAACCCGGGAAGCCATCAGGTCCTGGAGACTTAGAAGGACCAAGGCTGAATACAGCCTTACGGACTTCATCATTAGTAACCAGGGCGCATAAATGGTCATTCATTTCACTTGTCACCAACTGTTGGAAGTCCTGAAGAAGGTGGTCAAAATGAACAGCAGGGCGGGCTTGGAACAGATCAGAATAGAAATTCCGAGACCTCTCCCTGAAATGGGTCTCATTGCCAATCCAATTCTCGTTGTCATCTTTCAGTCTTAGAATCCGGTTAAAGTGGTGCCTTTGAATCGTACTAGAGTGGAAAAAGGCCGAGTTCTGGTCCCCTTTTTGTAACCAGTGAATTCGAGAACATTGTTCCAAGAAAGCCTCCTCTTCCCTCCACATTTTAGCCAGCTCCTGAGTTAAAGCTTTCTCCTCCGCCAAATCTGCAAAAGTTCTGGTCGGGCCTTGAAGATCTTGGAGTCTGGTCTTGATTTCCAGTTCCCTCTTCAATTTATCTTTTTTTATTATCTCTAGCCCAGCTGACAAGTTCGGATTCACATCTCTCAAGCTTGGCAGAGGAGTCTCCTTGATCATCCCAAATTTTCAAGATAATCTCAGCGCACTCCGCTTGATCCTTCCATCATTTGTCGAATCTGAAAGGGGTCCTCCTCCTATTATCATTGAAATTGATATCCACTCGGATGGGACAATGATCTGATTCCACCATATCCTCATGAAAAACAACTGCTTTGTCGAACTCTTCTCTCCAAGATGTTGAACAAATGGCTCTATCTAGCCTTTCCCTTATCAAATTCTGCCCTTGTTGCTTATTAGTTATTAGTCCATGTGAACCTAGGACCCTTGAATCCCAGATCGACCAAAGCATTGTGCGAGATGAAGTACTTGAACGGGGTGGTGTTCTCATTCCTTAGAGGACACCTTCCTTCTTTCTCATGATCATACAACACCACGTTCAGGTCTCCAACAATAAGCCATTTATCATCAATACTACCCCTAAAGGAGCTCATATGCTCCCAAAAAGCCCTTCTATCCAACGCACTGGTCGGGGCATGAACAAAAGAAACAAAGAAACTGCTACTGCCACTACTAATACAAACATCGAAAAAGTGGATGCTAGAATCTAAAAAATGGATAGAGATTCCAGCCTTCCACCAAAGGGCTAACCCACTGCCTCCTTCACTAGGGTTTACATATTTCGCATTTGTAAAATTCGTCCTTCTCCTCTTTCCCTCCATGTATTCTTCTTCTTGTTTCGTTTCCATGAGAAAGAGAATGGACGGGCCCAGGCTTCTACATAACCTGTTACAGTGGCTTCTTGTAAGGGGTTGGCCAAACCCCCTACAGTTCCAACTCAGGATCCTCATTCTGGATTAGGTGGATTAAGGCTAACCACCGCCGCCTCAGAGGAGGAGTAGTTCTTATCCCCTGCTTCTTGAGTTTCAGTCGGAACTCCTGCCCTCGTTCTCTTCTTTGCTCCAATCTTTTTCCTTTTATCTCTAGCTCCGTTACCTTTTGACCCTGGACTAAACAGAAAAGATTTGGACAAGTTAGAATGCAAACACTCTCCACTAGGGCCTCCTGCCAGATTGAGAAGCCACTCTTGTTTCCTCTTCTTTTCAGCCCGTCCAAGCTCCCTTTCATAGTTCAGTTGGGCTTCTTGAACAATGGATAATGGTTGTTGTTCCTCCATCATATAATGTGGGCTTCCATAATTGTGTGTTTGGCCCGCAAAGCCCGTCTCTTCTTCTGAGCCCAAGCAAATAAGCCCATTCCCTTTATTCAGCTGAGGAGGGGTGTTTCCCCTAGGTTTAGCACCCACGTTAAGATCCAGAGAGAACTGCACTGCCGCCACCACCTCTTCCAAGTCAGCCTCAAGCCTCCTTGGGGAACAGAGTTTTTGTGGCAAAGATGGAGATGTGTGAGGAAAGATGTCAGTATCCGTTATGGATCTCTGACCAAGGAAGAGGTTGTCTCCCATCGTCTGTGAGATTGGAGTCGAGGATTCCCCTGCAGCAGTGATAAGAGTCGTTGGAGTGGTGTTCCCAAGGCCGCCTTGGGATGATGGATTTCCTATTTCCACATGCCTCTCCTCCCCATCGATCTGACCTTGCTTCTTGCGACGGAAGGACGCCGGTGGAGTAGCCGCCGGTGATTCATAGCCGGCTTTCAGAGCGGTATTCAGTGGCGTAGCCGGGATTTCGTTTAAGGTGGGTCCACCTAGAAAAAAAATACACATGATAAAATAGTTTTTGTTAGTATAATCTTAAACTGAAATTTTTTGGTAAATTAAAATGCATTAGTAGTAAAAAAATATCAAGAATATCATTCTGCGAACCAAACAATTATTGATTTAGTTAGTCGTACACTCGTATTGTTTCAAATGGTGTTCTTTGTCAAGAACCGTTAGTATCAATAAATCGAGTTGTTGATAGAGGTTTAATAATAAATCCTACACCAATCAATAATTCATGATTTAGCTTTCGAATAATGTTCTTTGTAAAAAAAACATTTAGTATCAACAAATCGAGTTGTTCGAAGAGATTCAATAATATATATGATACCATTTACTAGCATGCTCCCTCATAAGAAAATCAACTTATACGAAATTGAAGTTTGCACAAATATGTACACCGTATTAGATTCAAACACAAAACTACTATTATCAATTAAATGTGACCTAATTTTCGATATCAATTAATTATCGTACCTAATTTAACCATTTTCCTCCCGAACCAGGGTGGGTCCCGGGACCCACCCTGTTACCCTCTCCCTCCGCCACTGGCAGTATTTAGCGGTTGAAACATGGTTAAACTAAGGTTTTAGCATAAAATACCCTACTGCTGACTTTTCCGGTACGATATTTCAATCCTTGATTATAATACACATCCTCGCCGGCCGTGTATTGTTTTTTTTAATGGGATGAGGGTTGATTTTAATTTTTGATTACCTGTTTTTCTGTATATATGTGAGAAGTTTTGTTTGCAAAGGCAGATAGGAGAAGAGCATTCTTAGCTACTATTCGAGTAGACCAATTTGCTGAATACAAACAAAATGTTCACAGGCAAATCTCCGTACTATCATATTGAAAGAAGAAATCCCCAAGCATAGCCTATTACTGTGCAGCAAGAGAGCTTTTGCTGTACATGCTGACCCATCGACACTGTTTCAACTCGGATGGTGCTCGGGTGTGGGAGGGTGTATGGTGGTTTCTGGTTGGTTTCCAAAACTTTGGTTCTCTTTGAACCATGATGTGACCTTTGGTTGGCAGGTCTGGGTGTATTTGTGTGGCCCTATGAGACTGCATTGATCAACGCGTTGTCTCTAGGCTTTCTCGATGATACTTGAGAGGGAACTAGAGTCAGAGAGAAGCAAAGATCGAGATTTTTTTAGCATACTTGGTGTGTTAGATGCCACGTAGCTCTTTTAATTTTCGCCCACTCATTTTACCTAACCAGCTCTATTCTCTATGCGTACTTTTTTCTCATTGGTTTCCGTCACCACTCACCACTCAGCAGAGATGTTCTCTCTCAATAGGAGAGATAAGATTGAGATGGTGCGAAGTTCAATCACCACTTGCCTTTCAGTTTTCTTTTCCCATCCATTCCAATATGCTCTCCTTCTTTCCTTTGTTGATAGCCCTCTTTCTCACCCCCTAGATTCAGATCAGCAAACAAAGAGATCCTTCTAACTGGGGATTGCCCGTTTTCGTGATTCCAAAAGGTTCGCCCAAAGTGATTGCGGTGTCTACGACGATGCTGGTGGCCACATGAATAAGGTAGAGAGAGGTGGGGAAGCCCCCCGATCTCATTTTTTGTTCCTTTGTTTAGTACTCTTCGTGGATAGTGATTCCCTTCTCTTCCCCCTTCCTCTTGCAGATTTGCTTGCAGGACACACTTATAAGGGTCCGCACGATTGTCGTCGTCTCCGCCAGAGACAGTGACCGGAGAGGCGGAGACATCGATGAAGGTATTCTCTCTCCTTGATGGTTCCATCCATCCATCTTCTGCCCTTCTCTCGACCCTCTGTTATCTATACCAGTTTTCTCTTTTCTGATGTCTTTGTCTTTTGTTCAATGCTTTAGAGGGCGATGTTGTATTCTGGAGTTTCACTTTGGATCAATCGAGGACGTTAAGCAATCGACGATTTGGGACTCAATCGACGATTTTCGCAATTACTACATCTCTTGCCTGGGCTTAACTCTTTTCTTTGAGAGCCGATTTCGAAATCTCATTTTTTATGTTGTGATTTCTTAGGTCAATCAGAAATATGATGGTGGTGATGGTGTTACTGGCCTTTATGATGGCTTCGAGAATCCAGGACTGAGGGGTGGCGCCGAGTTCTCCTGGGACGATGCGCCTTGGAATGAGATCAGTCTGTTTTGTCTTTGGCGATGTTGTAAGTTTGGTTTTCCAACCCACTTACGATAAGAAGTACACTAACTAAAGGATAGGGATGAGTTTGATTCTAGAAACCTGGGTATTGATCCTTCCCCTGATTTGAAATAATAGGTGTTATCTATCACTCCCAAACTGAATTTGTGTAGTTGACTCAATGATCTACCGGTGTTGATAGTGGAAAGAGCTGAGGGTTGCAAGTATTGTTTCTGGTTGGCCACTGATGGGATTAGTGGAGACGATTCTTTGATGAATGCGCCATCCCTTCATAATAACCAAGAATCAATTCATTCTACACTCTCAATTGTTTCCTGACTATAATCATCACTATTATTTGATCAGTCTCTTCTTTCTCTCTTCCTTGCAGGTGCGAGTTGTCTTTTGGATCCGGGTGACTTGACACATATTTTCAGACTCGGTTCCTTATATGATCTGTTCATGGTTCACAGCTACGAAGTTCAGATGTTTCGCCTTTGATTATTTATGATGATTCAATCGTCTTGGCATTTCTTCCTGAAATATCATTCGAGAGTTTGATTACTGTAGTCAGTTTAACAACAGATGATAACTGAGAATCGTATGTGGTGAGGATTGAATCAAAACTGCAACTATAGTTCTGTTATTTCCCATAATGTAGCTACGGTACTTATGGACCATATATATACTGTTTGCTTTCCTTCTCTCTTATTATAATAGCTCATTTGGTTTTTGCAAGATGGAATGGAAGTTCAGCGCAGCTTGGAGGTAAAGGGGTGCCATGTGACAAGTTCAGTAGTTCAATGTTACACCAAGAGTGTTGTATTTTTTTTTGTTTTTTGGTAATTTCACTAATAAATGCATTTTCCAAACTTTATATTCTTTACTTATCAAGTTAAGTTGTGCTTATTCTGTTAAGCATGTAAAGTAACCTTAGTATAAGATTTTGAAAGTTGTGATTGTGTTGCAAAGATGGCCCATATTTTATCTTATGATGTACGCTGGTATTTGATGTGAATTTCAATAAACATCTTAGAACACTATACGCTCCTATGTGTTTTTTGAGCACAATTAAATATGTTATAATCTCACGTCCCAGCGCGGAGCGCGGGCAATGAAAACTAGTTGCTTATAAAAGGTTGATCGGAGGTACCTACGTTCATTGACGACCATTTGAAACTTGTTGGAATTTTGGTTGAACCGGACTAACCAAGTCAAACTAGTTTTGGGTTGGACCGATCAACTGGTTTGGGATTAGACCGACCGAACCGATATTTTAATTCCGTGAAGGGACACATCCCTTTGGCCTAGTGGTGGTTGCATTATTTTATGGATAAGGATAACCTTATGGATAAAAGGCAACTCTTCATATGGATAAGTATAACCTTTCATATGGATAGATACAACATTTCATATGGATAAAGACAACCTTTCGTATGGATAAATGCAACCTTTCATGAAACAATGCATGGATTCGGCCCTTATAAATATGTGTGGGGGTGGATGATGCCACACACCATCAAATAGATTCTTCTTCTTTCTTCAAAAAATTTCTAAGTATGCTTTAGAGTTCTTGAGCCTAGAACCTAAAGTGGTGATAGTTTTATTCTCGGGAGAAATTTCCTGTAACCCAAGGCTTTTTAAAGGGTGGAAATATTCTTTTCGGAAAGTGAACGTAGTTCACGACTCTATCATAATCCTAGTCACCCGGTCTCAGGCTATCGTACGTGTACCCTCGTCCCAAAAGTCCCAACAATCGAAAAGAATATTTTCTGGTATGATGACTCGAACCGCTCTTTGCAAGAAACCGGTTCCGGTCTATGGAATTATGAGAATGTTCGATGATGAGTTTTTCATCGATGATAGTAGAAGATAGGTTTTCTTCATACTAGTCTCATGGGGTATTCCATATTCGGAAGGTAACTTGGAAGAGGAATGATTCAAAGATGAGGAAGAAGGAGAAGGCTTCGTAAAATGGAGAAATAGAAGAATGACAATTGCCTTTGTGTAGGTCACATAATCAATGGTTAATTTGTCTAATTATCTATTTGAAGTTTTTGAAGTTCTAGACAAATTTGGATTTGTCTAGTGGTTTGGTGGTGTGATTTTGTATAGGGGTTTATGTTATTTAAACCAAGGAGACAAAATTTATATAAAATTTATAATGATTCTGGTAATGGAGTCATCGTACATTTGTATGTATATGACATGCTTATCTTTGGCACTAATAAAAGATAAGTGAACTTTTGATAAAAAGTTGTTATTTAAATTCTCCGTGTGGGACATGGGGCAGGTAAATGTGATTCTGTCTATTGAATCAAGCGGTACAACAAAGAATATTCCTTCTCTCAATTTTTCTGCATTGAGAAGATACTCGTAAAGAAAATTCCTTAGTGGAAATTGTCGTGGGTTAGATACGACAATGGATCCAAGTATGGAACTTATGGTTAATACTAGCCAACCAGTCTTATAAATAGAGTATTCCATGTTAATTGGGTGGTTGATGTATGCAATGACTTGCATAAAACCATATATTACATATGGGGTAGGACCATTAAGTTGGTGTATGAGTAATCCTAAGTGCTCATCATTTGGCATGAAATGAGGC